ATTGTTTCAGAGGGGGAAGGGGGGGGCAAATGACAGTTTAATTTTACTTTTGATTGATTTTTTATTTGTGTTTTTCATTTAAATTTACAAAATCTTTGTTCAAAAAGGATCATTTTGTGATTGGAAAAGATTTTGGGAGAATTTATTTTGAGTATAACAATGATTTTGAATTTTAATTAAAAAAAAAAAAAAGAAAACATCTTCAAAATTCCTTTTAATATATTTTTTGAATAACCCTTAACTCTGTTTACTTTCAACATAGGTATTTTCAATTGAATTTTTTTTTTTTTTTGGTTTCTTCTCTTCTTAATTTTTTTTAAAATTTTATTCATGAGGGGTTCACAAAGTCAATTTAAATTTTATTAAATATTTTGAAGGCTCCCCTAATAACGAGTTTCCTCTTTTATTTCATTTTGAACACTTAATAAAATTTTATCTCTTAAATTAATAAATTTTATTATTATTTTGCTATTGTCATTTTTACGTTAGTTCCTGACAAACCTGAATCAGAAAATAATTTTCGTTTCTTAAAATAAAATAAAATAAAACAACAAGAGTAAAAAAAAAAAAAAAAATTTCTTTTGTAAATAAAGATTTTCGCTAGAATTTGAGCTGTTGTTAATATCATTCAATATAACAACAGGTTGCCATTTTTTTTTTTTTTTCAATTGTTTTTTGTTTACAATTCGATGTGTCTAAAAAAAAAAAAAAAAACTTTTCAAGTAAAACATTAATCTTATGTATTTTATTCCTATTTTTCACAATCAAAGCATTTTTTCTTTTTTTTTTTTTTTTGGGGGGGGGGGGAAATAAATAAATAAATAAAAATTAAAGATGAATCAGAAGATTTTCAAAGATTTTAAGAAAAGTTTTAATAGGTTTTTAAAAGTTTGTTAAAACTTTCAATAAAAGTCAGCTCATTTTAAAAATCTGTTTAAATGTTTAAGAAAGTTATAATACAAATAATGACTCCATTTAATTAATAATTACCAAAAAAAATTAATTACTCTTAAATAAACAATAATAATGATCTTTTTCTTTATAAAAAAAAACTATAGGTGATGGTGGTGATAAATTTATATTTTAAAATTATACTATAAAAAGTAGATTTTTAAATATTTATTATAGTAAAATAAATATAATATAATTTTTTTAAGACGCTTTTCATAAAAAATAATTATGAAAGAATAAGGAAAAGAAAAAAAAAAGGATTAAGAGTACTAAATTCGTGCGATAAAAGAAAAAAATGATTTCAAATTATGTTAACTAACGTTTAATCGATATAAGAATACTTAAATGAAGAAAATAAAATTTTGCTGATTTTTTTTTTTTTTTGGGGAGGTGGGGATGGGAGGAGGCATTGTTACACATTTCGTGCATAAGAAAAAAAAAACTCTTAATGAACTTTTACAATAATACATCTCTAATAAAGAAAACTTAAAAGTTAAGAGGTTGAAAAGAACAACATTAAACTTACCACAATGTTCGCGGTTTTCTTCAATCTGAAAATTAAATATAAATTTTTTTTTTTTTTTTCTATTAAAACTATAAATAATTAATTTAAAATGTTATTAAAAAAAATTAGTTAATTTAAAGTTATTAAATTTCAAAACATAAAACAAATTTAAAGGAAAATTTCCTAAAAATAAACAAAAATTTTCACATTTAAATCAATACAAAATCCGATATTACTTATTATTATTATTAATAATTCTTTCTATAAATTTTGAATTTAAAAAAAAAAAGGAAAAACGCTAATGAAACTCTTATCCCTTGGAAAAATTTTTTTTTTTAGAAAATCCTTTGATGAGAAAACGTTTTAATTTTTCCTTCATAAAATTAAGAAAAATTCTTTTATTTATGTAAATTTTTCTTTTTTCTCATTTGAACTAATTTAAAAGACAAAAGCTCTTAATTTTTTTTTTTTTTTCATTAGAAATTAGTCAAACCAAATATGATGGATATATTTTTAGTTGAAAATAAATTAATTTAATGCAGTGAATAAAAACTATTATGCTAAATAAAACAATTTTCATATTTACATTATTAAAATTTTTTAATTAATAAAATAAAAAAAAAAAGTTTTTCTTTTCATTAAAAAATTTTTTTAGAGAGTTTTTATATTTAATTTTAGTGTAACTGAGGGAAAGGTTCAAAATATTTATATATATATACTAAAAAAAAAAAAAAAACTTACCATTTCTTTTTCTTTCATTCTTTTCATGGCTTCATTTTTAGCTTTTTCAACAATATCATCAACAAATTCTGTTGTTACTGACATTTTTTGTGGATCTTGTCTAAATTCTTTAATTCTATCATCCATTTGTGGTATAATCGTTACTCCAGGACTCATTATTATTATTAATACTTAATTTCAGTTAAATAATTTAATTAACTTTATTATTATTATTATGTTATTTATTTATTCATTTTGATAAGTTTTGATGTAAATCAACCTAAAAAATAAAATGGTTGTGAATGTTTAACGTAGCACGTTTAAAATTTAAAAAGTAAACAAAAAAATGTTTTTTAAAATCACGTCCTGTCACATGAACTGAATTTGCATTTAGAATAATTATTTGTTCATTTAAAAAAAATTTCTTTCAATACAAGTTTTAAGTTTTTTTTTTTTATAAAGTCACTTAAATTATTTAAAGGAAAATTAAACTTTTTTTTTTTTTTATTGTCTCCCTTTCCTCCCTCCCCCCTGAGATTTGTAATTACCCAAGTTTATAAAGATTTTTATTTATTTATTTATTTATAAAATTCTAAAATGTATATAATCAATCTTAATAACTTTTGTAAATTTTTTAATTTAATATTGTTTAATAACATTTTTCCTTAACATATAAATTAATTAACTGTTGAAAATTTTTCATTTTTAAATAATTCTTTTTTTAAAACATTTGAATTTTTTTTTTTTTTGTGAGTCTGTAAAAACATCACGTTAATCCCTTAATCAAATTAAAAAAAAAAAAAAATTGTTTTTATTTCAGGTAATAAATCCAATAGCTTAAAATGGTATTTATAACGGTTACAAAAAAAAAAAAAAAAATTAAAAGAACTTTTTTTTTTTTTAAATATTTGATTAAAATGACGTTTTAAATAATAAGTAATAATTATATAATTAAATCATTTTGACTGATGCTGAGAAAAACTATGATTATAATTTTTATATGTAATACTTTTTGATTGAAAATATTTCAAAAATGTTTTTTTTTTTTTTTTTTGCGAGTTTTAAAATATAAATAGTAAACCTTACTCACCAAATCCTTTAACCGATTCCGGTTTCACACTGATTGTTGGCTCACGGATTTCAGTGACAATCATGCGTTATCAATTGTTCAGCGCAGACGCTGACTATTGTTCCTTATTAAATTCCATTCGGCAAATATAAGCTCAAAATGTTATTTTAAATTTATTCGTATTTAGAAACGAAAAAAAAAAAAAAAACAAGCAAATACGTTTATTTGTGAAATAAAACCTTTGATATTTGTTCGAAATGCATTATGTGCATTTATAATTTTCTTAGAGTAAATAAAAAATTATATTTCGGTGGGCAATCATTATTTTAAAGATAAAAGCTAATATCATTTCAAAAGTTTTTTACAAAAATTACATTCGGTCAATATTCTTTTAAGTCGGAAAATAATGATGTAAAATAAGAAAAGAAAAAACTGTAAAAATTTAATTTGTATATAATTGTTAATTCATTTTATATTAAAAAAAAAATTAATTTTAATTAGTTTCATAAAATATTTTCGGAGCAACAAGTATAAATGTATCACGTGACAAAAATAAAATCGTTTTCATAGTCAAAAATAACGTGTCAACAGATTCATCTCAATTTTATTCATTTAAGGCTTTTGTATGAAATGCTGTAAATTAAAGATGGTTGACTATTATTTTTTTTTTATATGAAAAATGAATAATGTTTTTTACTTTAATATATATATGTAAAATATGGTAATAAAAGTTAAAAATTTCATTATTTTTTATTTTTAAAAGGTAAATTATATTTCGCTCAACAAATTTTTGTGTTGTGAATTTTTCTTTATTTTGGGTGTGAAACCTCGTCTTGAGCTTAGTTTATTTTGTTGTGTTGGTTTATTATTACAAATATGTTTTGAAACAAAAGTAGTAAAATTAGATTTATGTGTTAAAAATATAACCGTAACACGCTTAAATGTAATAATTCATAATTTTATAAAATTATTAAACTTTAGAAAAACAATTAAACGTCAGTGTGATGATGAACATGTGGAGTTTAAATTAATTTGTGAATGTAATATGTGAATGACCCAAATATTTTAGGGCAAATAAATGTTTTTTGTTTTTTTTTTATTTAAAATAATTTTTATAATTACTATTTAAAAATTTTTTTTTTTTTCGTTTATTTTCATATAATGATAATATTTTATTTACTTTAAGTGGGGACTATTTTTTATTATTAAATTGACTCATGTCATTCATTAGAAAAATGATTCTTCTTCAGTGAAGACAAGAGAGTCATTTGTAATTGAAAAAAAATTACTTTGTATACATTGATATTATTTATAGTTATGATCTAAAAATTTCTTTATTAATGAAATTATTACAATTTAAAAAAAGAATTTTTTTTTTTTGCATAAAGTCTGTGTGAAAAATAATTGTTTAATTAATATCTTTCTGTACTTATTAATAATAATTTCTTCCATATATATTTTTTTCTAGAAATCAATGTGAATATGAAAAAAGCACAAGAGTTTGGCCATGCTAATTCAATATTTATTAAGTATTCAAGATGACTGATATTTTTTTAAGTTAATCATAATTATGGGAGACAATAGATATATAGTTCAGGTATATTATCATATAATGATAAATGTCTAATTTTTTAATAACCTAATTTGGTGAAATTTTTTTAACTATTATGCACTTATTACTTCTCTAAAACTTATATATGTTATCAACTAACTCATTATATTTTATTACAAACGGTGAATTTTAAATGTTTTTAAAATGTTACAACATAGTGAATATTTTATTGAAATATTTTAAAAACAATTTACGATTTTATGAAAACCAAAAAAAAATTAGTTATGTTTTAAATTTCTTTTTGTTTTTGTTTTTTTTTTTTTTTTTTTTTACTTGAACTAATTTAATTCTGTAGGTTTATGTTGGGGCATTATCATTACATTATGAAGCTCTCAGTGTTGAAGCCAGTAAACAAACTACTTGTGAAGAAATAGTATTATGCATTTTTGAAAGACTGTCTTTAAAAGATTCACCAACTTGTTACGAATTAGCAGAAGTCATTGGTGATAGTGCAGGTCAGGAATGCAAAGAAAGAAGATTAGGTAGTACAGAGTCACCTGTACAGTTAATGTTACTATGGCCAAAGTTACAAGATAGTCAACAAGAATATTACAGGTAAGTTATTTTTTTTTTTTTTCTTTTTTTCACAACAGTAAAATTTTTTAAAGAAATTCATAACAATAATAGCCTTTAAATTTATTCAGATTTTACCTCAGAGAAAAACAAAATGAAGCATCATGGAATGATAGTTTTTCTATGGATCCTAGCCTCATCAGAGATTATCTTTTACGTTTTCTATATCAACCTAAAGATAGGGAATATCCAGATTTGTGCCAATTGCCAGATTTAAATGAACAAACTCTGCTGGATAATTTACAAGCAAGGTTTCAGGCTGGTCATATTTATACATATGTCGGTAGTATTCTAATAGCCCTGAATCCTTTCAAGGTATATGCTTTAAACTTTACTTAAAATTAAGCACTATTATCATTTTTATAATTGTTATTATGATATATAAAATTTTTTTTTTCAAAGTTTTATCCCATATACAATCCAAAATATGTAAAATTGTATCAAAATTGTCGACTTGGATCTGATTTACCTCCTCACATATTTGCTGTGGCAGATGCAGCTTATAATTGCATGTTGAAAGAAAAGAAAAATCAATGTGTTGTTATAAGCGGAGAAAGTGGTTCTGGAAAAACAGAAAGCACTAATTTTTTACTTCATCACTTAACTGCTTTAAGTCAAAAAGGAAGTCATGGCAGTGGAGTTGAACAAACAATATTGAGTGCTGGCCCTGTGTTAGAGGTAATTACGTTTTTAATATTTTTTATTCAATTTTAAGTTTTAGAAGAAAAAAAAATTTACCATTTATTACATTTAGGCTTTTGGAAATGCTAAAACTGCACACAATAATAATTCGAGTCGTTTTGGAAATTTATTCAAGT